AAAAAAAAAATGCAGAAAACTATCACACAAGAGACAATGTGAAGAACATCAAATGAATTAAGGAGAATTTTCCTCAAGTCAAATAGGCTCAGATGTAGACTATGTGAAAAAATAGAATCGGTACAAAACCAATTTTTTCTTACAATAAATCTAAACAAAGTAGGTAGACATACGGTGTTAGTATATAATAAATTGCCAGTGGTTTTGTCCACCCATAGCAGCTCGTTCAAAAGATTCTTGATAAGCACGTGCCCGCCCAAAACAACAGGGAAACAAAAGAAGACCAAAAAAAACAAACAAAAACAAATGCCTCCAGCTGAGCAGTTGTTGTTCATAACCTTTCACTGCCAAACACAAGAAAAAAAAGAAACCACCTAACAATCAGAATAGAGAAAGAAACTTTTACATCTCAAGACGTGTGGTAAAAAATAGAGGAAAATGAAGGCCAAAAGTCGTAGAACACAAAATGTCAAAAAACAAGAAAATGGGGTGCCCCAAGATTGCGACTTTTGTTCATGCGATAACTCATACATACATGGGCACAGTCAAAAGTAATCATTAGAGGCTTGGATTAGCCTGCAAAAGCAAGAGGAACAAAAAGAACACAAAATGGGTCAAACAGATAAAATAGAATACAGTGAAAAGAGGACAAAAAAAGATGGCGATTTGAGTGAAATAATTAGAGGGAAATGCTACGGCCCCGTTACGAAATCATTTCGTCGGGTTTGTAATTGTTAGATATCTATTCCAATGGTTACAAATCCCGACGGTACCGTATCATTTTCCATAATTAAGACCCACGAAGCAAGAACATGAAAATTGAAATCCGAAAGCCCCGACCCAAGGGCCTCAAAGATCTCCCAACCTCTGTGTCTTTTTCCTTAGTTTTCTTGGCCAAGTGCAGGCATTACGGGTCTACGATTCACAAATTTTAAAATATTTGCGAAGAATTGATTAAATAAATGTAAATGTTTTTGCTCCCAATCGAGGTTGGTGTACTGTATTGTTTGTTTGTGCCTCGTAATGGTGAGCGAGGTGACGCGAAGGTGTGCGATTTGTTTAATGTTAGTAAAATGGTTATAAAATGAGGGGAAAAAAAAAAAAATTAAGGTGGTTCTATAATGGCGATGAGAGGTGTGTTTTGAGGGAAAAAGTCATGGGTCAAAGTAAGAAAGTTTGTTACGTTCTAAGAAATGTTCATCAAGAATTAAAGATCGAGTCTTGTTACCAAGAGCGCTTGGATGAGATGGCTTGGGTCTCTTCCAGCTTAACCAGTGGTCTCGTATTCGAGCCCTGAGAATGCAGCAGTGTTAAAACTCTTGAAGGAGAGCTTTGCCGCCCTTGTGGTCCTACCCGGCTCGATTCCGGATTAGTCGGTTTCTCTGTGGATCCAGAAACCGAAAGGTTCCTGTACAAAAAAAAAAAAAAATCGAGTCTTGTTGGAATCTATATGAATATGAATATAATTAATTTACAAAATTTTTTTTTAGTAAAAATGTTAATTAGAATCGAGATTGGGTCTTCTTGGGATTGTATGAAGATGAGATTATGGGTGTGATTGGATATAGTTGTGATTGGATATTTTTGTTTTGATTGTTTTTTTTTTATTATTATTAATTATAATTAATTTTGAAAAAGTTAGGGATTGTATATAATTGAAATTTTAAGTGACATATTCAGACATTTAAAATTTAAAGAGATGTATTTAACGGGGTTTTTAAGGACTTTTTAAAACTTTAGAAATAAAATTGCTCAAGTTTTTCAGATTTTGAAGGAATGCGTGAAATTTTAAGTTTTGATGTGAGATTTGAAGTAAGATTTTATATAAGACCAGTTTTTCTTTAGAAATCTTAAAAATCCTAGTATAAAATAAGTTAAATACCTCAGAATTTTGTAAGATTTTATAAAATTTCAATTGAATACCCCAAACTTTTAAAAATCTTAAAAGATCTAAATTGAATACGCTAGTATTTCTAAAGTCTTAAAAAGTCCTTGGAAATCCCAATTGAATACACCCGCTAAAACTATGTCATGCATGGTTCAATCGTTCCGTTTTTTTGGTACGGTTTCGGAGATCGACTCTGTAAGTCGTGTATGTCTATACAAATTTTCTACAAATTTTTAAACGATTCACGTTTAACCCTAACCTCTAAATTATTTTTAAATTATACACATTTAATTCGTAGATAGTTCGTGACTTGCATAATTCGACTTCCTAACCAGCCCCAACATGAACCATTCACCCATAACTCCATCCAGTTTATGGGTCGATTCTGTATCCTTAGTCGCGTTGCTGCCTTCTTCAAGACTTTGACTCAAACTTCTTCTTTTATTGCTTCTGGTTAAAACTTCAAAAATCATCATTCTACCCGTGTATTTTCATTAACGAGTTCTCCTAATTTTGGTCGTTTACTTTTTGTACAACTCATTGTTCATAGGTGAAATTCATCAATAGATATGAGAATCTTGAATATATATATATATATATATATATATATTCATTATCTATTTTGTGACCACTTATCACCAAGATATTGAGTTGGGAATGAGAGAGTGGGGTTGGTAGCTGTAAACAAGTGGATCCTAGCTCGACTCGTTAAATAAACGAACAAAAAATCGAGGTCAAGCTCAACTCATTTATCAATATTAACGAGCCGAGTTTGAAACGACCTTGATCATTAATTAATCGTATTATAAAATTATATTAGAATTTCTCTTTTCGAGCTTCATCGAGTCGAACTGAGCCAGAATCGTTAAAGAACGAGCTTTAAGTGAGCTTAAGCTCGACTCGCTTATCAAACGAGCCTAGTCAAACTCACGAGCGACTTGTTTTGTTAACAACTTTAGAGGTAGGTCCGTAGGTGGGTGGGTAGAGTGGGGCCCACAAGTAGAGAGAGAGAGGGTGGGTAGGTGAGAGAGAAATAATATCCAAAATAAGTGAGAACCATTCCTAGTGAACAATCCCTATATATAGACTAGTTCCTCCCTCTCCTTGAAAATAATCCCCAAATCTAGGAACCGAAACCCACGTTCATCCTTGTCTCCTCTTCGTCGAGTGTTCCGCTTCACCGCGGAGATGGCCGGTAGGGAGGGGGTGACTTTTGTTCTTTTTGCTTTGTCTCGGCTCTTTTTACCAGCTTGGCGCTTCTCCTTTCGACTGGTGGTGGAGGCGGGTGTTTCCACGACTCGGCGGTGAAGGCGTGGGTGCTAGCACCTATCGCTTCTCTGGTGGCGGTTGGAGCTAGGGCCGACATTTTTTCGTTCCCCTGAATCTTGTCCTTTTCCCTGGGGTTGGGAAGACGAGTTTCTTCTGGCGGGGGCTTTGTCTCTGGGCGATTGCGGGGATTGTGTTGGTGGAAGTGATAGGTGCTAGCCTCCGGGTGTTGTTCTGGTGGTGATCCTTAGGAAGGGGATCTGGTTCTTGTGATAGCGGATCTAGTTAGCCATCATTATGTACTTTGAGGGTTGGAGTTTCTAGAGCTGCTTCTTGGGCAGTGGTCTTGTTTTTTGGGTGATTGTCGCCGGGTGTTGACTCATATGGTGGCAGTCTTGGAACAGCTTGCCGGCTGGTGGGGACACCATTATTTTATCTTATTTTATTTAGTCTTTATGATGTGTGTGTTTGTTTTGTTATTTTATTCACCCTTGTGTATTCTTCACTTTTGAGAGTATTGTTGTGTTGTAGGTTGTGTTTGTATTAGTGATGTTGGATCTAGGCTATCTTCGCGTAGTCCTCCCACTAGCTGTGTACTTCTTTATTTGGTTGTTTTTAAATGGTTAATATGTGTGTTATTTATAAAGTTAATTGTACCTAAAAAAAATCCTATATATATTCAAAATTCTTTATACTATAAATTTTAAGTATTTGAAAAAAATACATATTTTTGTAAGAAACTATGGAAGTTTCAAAAGAGAATCACAATAATATGCAAATTGCAAAACCAAGGTAAAACTCACGTAATTACTCCCAAAACACTTGAAGAAAGCAAAAGAGCACAGCCGGAGAAAAACACACCCGCCGTTGAAACTTTTCTTCAGCTCCAAGTTTTAGGCTTTATAGCTGATGAGCCAAAATAA